GGCATTCAAACGTCCTAAAGCCATACCTCAACTGAAAATGGCCCTCTGTTATCCGAAGATATATACTTGACGATGACATTGCTTGTAGGGATGGTGTTCGCTTCCCCCGATGCTGTTTTCTGCGTACCATTGAACAGATCCAGAGCACCTAAACAGTAAAAACAAATCGACAGAAAGTTTAGTGGGGGATAAAAGCCTTACAAACAAGCAGGCCCGCTCTTCCGCCAAACAGAATTGCCAGCTCCGCTTCGCTCCGCCGGCAACTCCGTTCGGCAGCGGCCGGGCCTGCTTGGCCTGCCGGCGGCGATGGTCAGGCCTGCGGCCCGACCATTTCTGTTTTGCAATTTGCTGAAGAACATAATCACGGGCCTTCGACCCGCAAAAACTAGTCGTCCTTAAAATTTGCCCCGTAGACACGTTGTAACGGTGAGGCACCGTGACTACAACCCACCCTTCTGCTTAGAAAACGTTTTTTGGGGTGGGGTGTAGGAGTTTCCTTCCTCTTTTGCGGGTTTAGCCCGCCTTTCTGCTTTGAAAAAGCTATGCAGCGGGCTTATGCAAATGACCTCATGTGTGTCTGTGTGTCTGTCTGTCTGTTCCACTAGAAGGAGACTTGAAATTTTCAGGGTATCTTAAGGTCCACTCGTAGAGAACGAAACGCCTACGGCAAATCCTGGCAACCACGCCTAAGGGTGTGAATGGGAGTAGCCAAGGTTCAAAAATTCTCCCAATAAGTATTTTTTATTAATGTTCTCCTAAGGGGTAACTCGTCAAAATTGAGCTCAGTGAGCGAAAATTTGGTCCGTTTTGCTCTATCTCTAACCGTTGAGGCGCTAGAGGGTCTTTCTTGACGAATATAAGCTAAAAATTGCCATAGTGAACAATAAGTTGTAGAAATGGGCCTAAAAACCGCAAAATAGAAAGGAAATTCTCCCCCCACCCCCAAAAAACGTTTTCTAGGCAGAAGGGTGGGTTGTAGTCGCGGTGCTTCACCGTTACATCCCTTTTTTCGAGTCTTTGGGGCAAACTCAAAGACGACGGGTTTAAGCGGGCCAAAGGCCCGCTACATCATTCGATCATGTTCTTCAGCAAATCGC